TTGTATTATCACTGTTGCAACATAAGTAACTCAGCCATTGCTCTTTGGTTACAGAAACTACATAAATAGTTGTTCTGTATTTTACTATCTGGTTGGCACAACCAGATTTCTGTATGGATCAACCATATTGATTTTTCCGTGCACGGATTTATTAATATACATCCATTTGGATACACTTTTGCTATATTCAAACGACTAAATATTATCCAGTAAATACCAATTACAGAAATAATAAACAATAATAATAACAGTAATAATAACATTACACTAATATCATAATTTTTTACTTAACGATGTAACTGTTACGTATAATGCATATTATATTGCTTACATTATTGAGTTGGAAATTATAACATTAATGCAATGTTACTATTAACCTCTTAGGTACTGTATGCCACTATAGTGGCTTTCACGTATATCATCTTTCTGAACGGTACGCCACTATAGTGACTCACTCTTACTTCTAATAAATTATAATTTATTCATCTAAAACTGTATTCTAATGTACTTGCGTAGTGAAAAGCATTACCAGACATAAATCGCAGTGTTGCATTGTTTTCGCGCAGTCCGTGTTGAACTTTACCGTACAGAGATACAGCTCCGCGGAAAGTCCTGCTGTAGCTAAGAAATTAAGGCTCCTAAGTACTCACTGCGCGCGCGTGATCATGTTGAATTGTGATGTCAGAGAAAAGAAATGATATTCTGAAAATTCTTGTCGGCCACTTTAAATAAAAAGATATTTATATGAAAAAGTACTTCAGATCGCTTGAGCACATTTGTAAAATGTTCCGAAGACTATCCTTTCTTTGAGAGTTAACCCAGGTAGTCAAATTTGCACAAACAGATTTTGATTAAAGCCTAGAAATTTTTGATAGCAGAAAAGCAGTAATTTAACACAGGATTTATTATATCTGATTATGTTGTAAAACTGCCACCATAAATGTGACAGAGCCTGCTGACAGGCAATCTGTAATCCGCAGTTTGGCGGCAGAAACCGAACATAGTCTTTAATAATCTGACGGTAAATTGGCAGTCGAAACCTAGCAGATTCTGCTGCACAATAGAATTTGTTGCCAATCTACTCGCATTGCCTGTCAGCAAACTTTGACGCCAAAACACGAGCTAAATGAGGGTATAGATGGCTATGGTTTTGATATAACACTCTGATCAAATTTGCTGCCAATCTGCGTGCACTTTGCTGTCAATTTGCTTACTGGAAATAAATAGAAGAATGAACATAGCAAGATCATGAGAAAATATAGATTAAAGAGGAAGGTTACATATGACATGGTTAAAGAGAATGTTAAAAATAGGCTATTTTTGAATATTTAATCATTGAAAACTGTTTCTGCAATATTCTAGAAACAGAAAATAAGAACTATTTATCTTGAAAGGTGAGTAATAAATATAAAAAATTTGACTTTGAGTTCAAATAATATACAGGTTGATTTATTTTAATTTATCCACTGAAATATCTCAAAAGCCGTAAGTTTCAGGAGGAACCTTTTTAGACAAAAGTTGTAGAATTTAAGAGAAAAAAATGTTAATATTTATTTGACTTTAGAATGACGATCAAAAACTATATCAAAGTCAAATTTAATATTTTCAATAGAACTATAGAGTTTTTTAAACATAAATCGATTACTTTAGTCATTCTGCGTATAAAAGTATTCAGATAAAATCATCGGAAAGTGAATATTTTCGAGATATTTTATCCTGATACTTTCCAGTACAAAAAATATGAAATATCTTATAAACTATTCATTTTTCGATAAGCTCATTTTAATACTTTTGTACATACTTTTGTACATGTTTTCTACATACTTTTGTGACCTCTACAATATATGTCAAGGTCAAGGTCATCGGAGGTGGGTTCGCTATACTGCATAATTACCAAAAATACAATAAACTCTCTAAAGTATAATCACTATTGTATAATAATAGTGATTTTTTATACTTTAAATCCTGATTTTCATCGGACCTGGTGGACAAATAATTGTTATTTTCTGTTTATAGAAGATCACAGAAACAGTTACAAATAATTAGTTAAGTTTCCGTTAGTCGGTCAAAAAAGGTTTATTTGTAACATATCCTTTTATGGTTATTTATTGATTATTAAGGGAAAAGGATTAAGAGAAAGAGGAATATTTGGGGCATTTTATAAACGTACTTAAGATATACAATCAGATTCTTTCATACAAACATTTTTCTATTTAGAAATGGCACGTAAGAAAGAACTTTGGACATGCGTTTTTTCGCTTTTGACATTATTAATCAAGAGTTCCGCGGCGAGGGACTAGGAGGATTTCTAGGAGGAAATATTAATTGGTGTTTATTGAGTAATTCACTCGATTGTACAACGAGACAATTCTAACGTTTTGGTAAAAATTGTGTTTCAAGAAATTGTCTCGACATTTAAATTTCAGTATTATGACATTTCAAATTGGTATATTATATACTGTGTACAATATATTGTTTACCATATACTGTATAGCACGGTATATACTGTTGATACTTTCCATATACGGAAAAAAAGATTTGTTAATATTTGGACAACAAAAATATTAACTGCAGGAGCAAATTTTCTTGCTTTTATAGTAAAAATTATTTAGTTGTGATAGCTAAATAACTTTTACTATGAAAGCAAGAAATTTTGCTCCTGCAGTTAATATTTTTAGTTGTCCATATATTAGCAATTTTTTTTTCCTGTGTACGTGTATGCTTGATTATAACAATTGTTTGATAAATACTCAATTTAACATGCATTAGAATAACTGTATTCTTCTTAAATATCAGCCATCCTTTATAAAAGAAGTAAATAAAAAACATAGGAGATTTAAGGGATAAATGTTGTATGTGTACGTGTGTGTGTGTGACTTGAAAACCCTCAGATATCTTTAATACGTGCTAAATATGATTATGTTCTTTCGATATTTTTATAGTAACGTTTCCTTCTTCAGTTTTTAAATGTGGAATTTACAGTGAGCCTTAATTTCAAAAGTCCTAAACTAACAATTACACAAGATGAAACTAAAAATAAAGACAAGAGACTTTATTCTTTGTTTTATTTTGAAAGATGTTTATAGAAATTTGTAGAATTTCGATATATTTTTTTTCGGGATAGTACACGTTTATTCAAAGAACTTGGTGCGAAGCAACAAAAGTTGCTGTTATTTATCTTCGGTCTGAATATTCTTTTTTTCATCAAACTTTTCAGAATCTTAAGGGCAAAGTGATAGCTATAAGACGAGAGGACCAATCAGTATGGGAGAGGAGGGCGCCGTTAGCTCCGGCGAATGTTCGCCGTCTCGTCAGGTTAGGCGTGAAGGTAATCGTGCAGCCAAGCAACCGGAGGGCGTATCCAGCGCAAGCCTACCAGGCAGCCGGGGCGCTCTTGCAAGAGGACATCAGCTCAGCATCCGTGATCTTCGGGGTCAAACAACCGGTACCGGTGGACCAGCTAATACCTAACAAGACATACTGCTTTTTCTCACATACTATCAAAGCGCAGGAGAGTAATATGCCTCTCCTGGACGCGATTTTGGAAAAAAATATACGTCTGCTGGATTACGAGAAGCTCACGGATGCCAGCGGTCAAAGAGTGGTCGCTTTCGGCAAGTATGCCGGGGTGGCTGGCATGGTGAACATACTACATGGTTTAGGTCTGCGACTGCTAGCTCTGGGTCATCATACGCCCTTCATGGTACGTTGATAAAAACTTTGTAGTATAATTGCATCTTCAAGGACTAATCGCGTAAAGTAATCTCACCTTCATTAGCACATCGGACCAGCACACAACTATCGAGATTCGGCTATGGCGCGCCAAGCGATTCGCGGCGCTGGATACGAGATCGCGTTAGGTGCTATGCCAAAGTCAATCGGTCCGTTGACCTTTGTTTTCACGGGCAGCGGTAACGTGAGTCAAGGCGGACAGGAGGTCTTCCAAGAGCTTCCCCACGAATACGTGCCGCCGGAGATGCTGCGGAAAGTCGCTGAGCACGGCGGTATGTCGTAATTTTTTATCTGCGCTAGCGTAACTGTACGCTTTATCGCCTTCTTTTCTGCACCACTTGGGTTATCGAGAACGCCGAATAGATGTTCTCATTATCATTTGCAACTTGTATCGTCTGACCTGTTATCTCGAAGAAACGTGATTTAGAGTTCTTTTTTAAGTGCGTTACTTCAAACATTATCGTGAATGAAATTATCATATCGTTGTTGTTGTGATATGATTCTTATTATTACATATAATCAAGGTTGGAATAGTTACTTTATAAAAGTAACGCGTTATCATTACTTAAAAGTAACCCGAGTAAAAAGATCACATATTTTCGTCTTTACATGGCTATATATAATCATGCATCATTATATATTTTTACAACGAAAAAATAATTCTATATAAATACAAAGTAAATGTTTATCCCATGCAGCACAGAAAGTTGAAACAACGTTGCTGAGATGTTGTAATGTTGAATGTTGAAATATAAATATTTTTCCAACGTTAAATCTATATTGTTTTTTCTACATTCCCAGCAAATACAACGTTACATATAATTTACATCCCAGTAAGCAAGAAATCATTAATACAAAGTTGCTACAATGATATTGAAGAACCTGTAATATTGTCAAATATATAGTATTTAATATTGTATCAAACATTATTACGAACATACTTTGACCGCGATTTGGAAGTTTATGTTGAAATAGAGTTGCTATAATGTTTTAATCGGCAGAAATATTTTTAAGATGTTGCATTGCTCTCAAATAAATGTTAAAGTAACATTTGAAAAATATACTTTTTGTAATGTTTTTAAAACGTTTAAACAACATTCAGAAAAATCATATCATAAAATAACATGTAAAAAATATAAATATAAATGTAATATTATTAAAAAATGTCCAAACAATGCACATGAAGTCAACGTTTCTAAACGTTAATTTAATGTTCCTTGCTTACTGGGATGTTAGTTGTAATTTCCTACTCAATAATGTAACTGTTATATAACATGTGTTATATAACAGTTATATTATTGAGTAGGAAATTACAAGTAAAATGTATGTTACATGTAACTTTGTGTTTGCTGGGTTGATTCTTTATGTTATTACAATATTGAAACAAATTATGATCTTTTGAAATTCAAGTAGAGATACTGAAAAGAAATTTTATATATCCTTTTGAATGACGCATTGAAATTTTTGTTGAAAGTCAAGGATTTCATCGAAAAATGTTTCAAACAATTTGTACAGTCTAATAATGCTATTCACACTGACTATACTAAAATCATGTCAAGTTTACATTTAATTTTTTAAGTAGAATCATGTGGTTTCTTTAACATAAATCGATTTCATTCGTTATTCTGCATATTGAGAGGAAATAATCGAAATATGAATATTTTCCGAAATATTGTACATTATATCTTGATAATTTTTAGTACAAACTATGGAATATCTTACTAACTATCATATTAAACTATTATGTTAACTATTCAACAACATTACTTTAATATTTTTATACGTTGAATAACGAAGAAAATCGATTGGTATTCTTAATCTTTGTATACTAGTGTTTCAATAAATCTACAAAATCCAATCTTTATATGGAAAACTATCAACAGTTGTGAAAAAAAAACTTTTTGACGCTGAACGTGACCAATGTTAAATCAATATTTGATAATATTAAATTGCAACGTCTACAAGACATTGAAATTCAGCGGACATTAGACGTTTACCCTTATAGAAATATCATACTAAGAATCATTGACAATTACTTATTATCTAGTATTTTTAATACTGAAAATAAGTAATTATCAATGATTCTTAGTATGATATTTCTATAAGGGTATACAATGTCTTTTCAACGTTGAATCTATTTCAAAATGTTGATGCAACATTGCAATGTCGTAACGTAACGTTTCTGAAGTGTTGATTCAACGTTTGCGTGCTGTATGAGTATGCTTCTAGCGTAGAAAAAGAAAAGTAACTTCTTTGTCAAATCATTGTTGGAAAAAGTAATTATAAGTCTTTCTATATATCTACAATATGCGGAGAAAACTATTCTTATAATAATCGTCTATGATTGGCCAATTTTTATGGCTTACTTTTTATTCCAAGTTTACTCCGCATATTGTAGACCGAACCTAATGACAACAACATTAAAAATAAAACATTCTCTATAACCTAGATCTATTCTGTAACTTTTAACAACAATGTCGTTATCGTTACGCTATTGTTATGTAGATATGATATATGGTAGAAAAGATGCGCAACGACATATCATACTAGTAAAATTGTCATTAAGAAGTTGTAGAATAGGCTTATTGGATATAATCTCGAAAAGTTCCTAACGTATGTACTCGATCTCTTCTCATGCGTAACGTGACATAAATGCGTTATCAGATTCCAGGATTTTTAATGATAAAAGCAAGACGCTACTAGGTTCGTAAACTTTGCCATCATCTAACGCAAACAAAAATATCTCGTGATATCATTTATCAGTGTATGTACGTTCCTTGACTTGATACAGATACTACAAAAATATATGGTTGCGAGGTGCGGCGCAGGCATCATCTGGAGAAGAAGGAGGGCGGCGGTTTCGATCCCGAAGAATACGAGAAGCATCCGGAATTGTACATTTCCACTTTCAGTAAAAAGATTGCGCCATACGCTTCGGTGATCATCAACGGTATATACTGGGCGGTGGATTCACCGAAATTGTTGACGATACCGGATGCCAAATACTTACTGAGGCCCGCTCATACACCATGGCTGCCGATAAGCGTCGGTGCACCCGCACTGCCTCATAGAATGCTCGCTATCTGCGATATATCCGCAGATCCTGGTGGGAGCATTGAGTATGTACTCGTATTTAAAATGAAATCTTGAAAATGCGATAGTTTTCGTCGCGCTCTAAAAATGTTAAAATTTAAACATTTCGTTTCTTGCCATTATAAATGATTTAGAAACAGGATTGGATAATAAGTTAATCAGTTAAAATTAAATTTAACATCAGTTAAAAGTTAAATTAAAAAGTTATAAATATAATAACTTTTAGCTTAACTTTAATTAATTTTAGTTAATTTTTCCAAATCTGCAAAAGTAAATTTTACATAGTGTCTGCTGTAAATATTGTTCGCAACTTAGTAGCAGAAGTACGACAGAATTTGTTATCAGAGTATGATGGCAGATTAACGGAAAACAAGTAGATAATATTGTTTTTCTATATAATTATTTAAATATATTTAAATGGAATATACTGCAGAAATTGCTAATTTTTTTTTTGCCGTCAGTCTGCAGTCAAGTTATATCTCTGTTGATAAAACACGAGTTTAATTTGGACACAGATAGCTACAGATTTATCATAGAGTATTCTGATCGAATCTGTTACCAATATGGTAATGTACTGTTAACATTTTGTTCATTGAGTTTAAAGGGGTATTCTAGTATAAAGACCCGTTTTCAAGGTGATTTTTGAGAATTAATTTAAAACAAATGGTTTTTGAGAATTAATTTAAAACAAATGAGAATTAATTTAAAACAAATGGTTAAACAGAGTTAATGTTTTGCACTGATATTTCTTCGTCTTTGAAGACATCTCAAATTTTGTCAAAGCTTTATATTCAAAATTGAAGGAAATACAAGTGGACGAAACAGATCATGTTGTAAAATTGTCTTCTATCGGGCGAATTGATTGCCACTGTTCTCGTTATCTGAAATAAACGAATTTGCGTTTATTTTATTCTTTATGAATGTCGCTATCGTCCGAGCTAGAACAAAATAATTTGAAGAAAAATTGACAAAATGGCGGTGCTTGAAAAATAGTAGTCTGATTTTTACTAAAAAATTCTAACTGTTCGCGATCTGGAAAAATAGTAATTTTAAAGATATCAAAAAGATTTTAGTTCAAGCGATAATCGAATATGTGCACTATATATGTGTAAAAGCGTAAGTTGATTGGCCTAATAGTTCCTGAGAAAAATACTCTACTCGGTTTGGAAAATGTCATTTCGAGAAAAACGCGTTTAAAGATTCTTATATACTTACGAAGGGGATAATGAGTAATTAGAGTAACTTACCCTTAATCAGCTATACCAGGGTCATACAAGAGATCTTCATCAACTTCATCAATTTCATAAATCCACGTTTGTCTTCCTCTTGTTTCTTGGTAATTCTTGCTTTTTTCGACTCGTGCGACGCCCGCTGCTCCGAACGTTTAACGCGCTCGTTGTTTATATTATCCGCGAGGAATTTTGCATTTTGGCCGATTTGTAGTCCCATTACGTTAGTTCCATTATTTTTAAAATTATATAAAATCCTTCATTAAACAAGCAAACAGCTAAAAAAGTTGCAACTTCTACTGTCTTCTTTCCACAATACAGATGTTTTGATGTAATTGTCCAAATTAATGAATTTAAACTTTCGTTATTATTCTGAGTAAATAATCCGAAGCATCGCTGTAATAAATGATGGGTAGTTAAATCATCATAAATAGGTTGGATGACATTTAACACTTTGTCATTCATTTCGTGGTCGGCGCGCTGTATGGAGGCGTCCTTTAAACCTTTATAACTCGGTCAATTTAACGAATTTTATCTTAATATTTTAGGGTTATATTTTCAAGACTTTAAATTATAAAAATATGTAAAAAAAGAAAAATCGATTTTTCGGATCCGACACACTAGAATACCCCCTTAAATGGGTTGACTTTTAACTTAAACTAGCTATTTTAAAATGTATTAACTTTAACTTAATAAGTTGTTTTTATACCAGTTAAAATAATTTCTTATACCAGTTTTTATACCAGTTAAAATAATTTATCAATATTGTTTCGGGGCTATTTTTACAAATAGGATATGAAAAATAAAAAATAATACTAGCAGAATTTTTTTATTTCTTTGAAGTAATGTTTTCTTTTTTTAGTAAACATCGAGTATATATTCTAATATTATATCAATATTAGAATTACCGATTCAACAATGTAACTGTTATATATAACACGTGTTATATTGTTGAGGAAATTATAACACAGATGTAATGTTACTGTTATTTGATATTTACTGAGTTATAATATGGAATCTTGAGTTATAAAATAGTCGGTATTTTCTTATAAAAGATTACTTTCATATTGTCTCATATAAATTTAATCTTAAAGGACCCCGCACAAAACCTATGGAAAATGGTTTTCGGTCAAATTGGCTGAAATTTCACTGTGTTATAGTTTTCGCCATGCTGATAAAAAGTTATCATTGCACCAAGTCCCAAAAGTCAATATTTCCCAAGATATAAAGGATCAAAGTAGTGAAATATAATTATCCGCAATAGTAAGACGTATGTTATAAGTATACGTGATACATTGATATTTATTTACGAAATAAATAAAAATCGATTTTTACATATATATATATATATATATATATATATATATGTAATAAATATTTAGTTCCGCAATATATATGTATATGTATATACAGGGTGGGGCAAAGTATTGAAATATCTTGAAAAATATAAGTTTTACAAAAAACTGTTTCAGATCTTAAAAAGATCTATTGTATTTACTGATTTTAGCAGATTGATCTTG